CCAGGAGTCCCACTGAGCAGCAGAGCCAGAAAGGCTTTCAGAAATACCCATCACGAGCTGTAGAAACGGCTTTTAAATTGCTTCTTAACCAGAAGTTCAGGATAAGGATTTGTGGTAGCGATTCATGCCTTTTTTCCTGAGGGGGGGTTGGACAACAGCCATTAATTACTTGGCAAAATGGCATTTTCTCGGATTCTACAGTTATTGAATAAGTGCAGAGGCTCCTTCCCTTGATCCTGTGCTGCTGTGAAAAGAAAGGTGGGAAGAGCTGTTTTCCAGGAAGAACTGGGAATAACCCCCTTGCAGAGGAAAGCCCACTCCAGCAGCAGGACCTGCATCGGGGGCACCGGGATTTCACCCTGGAGAAAGCACCAGAGCAGAGAAGGAGTTTAATGACTCCCAGTTCTTCCATTTTCCCATCACTCAAACCTCACCTCTGATTTCTATTCCCTTCTCTCTGCTCCTCTTGTTTATGTGACGCCCTTTGAAACCACACTGGAAGTTCCTCAGAGCAGGGACTTTCTTTTCCAGTCTGTGTGAGGAACGTGGTGACAAAGATGATTGAATCTCACCAGGAGCTTTGCACAGGGGCTGGATTTTCAGCCCTGCTGACCTACAGGTGAACCCAGGCCCTGGAACTCCCCCAGCAGAGCACAGCTTGCTGACCATAATGGAATTTCAGTCTGGAGAAGAGAAGAACCCAGGGAGACCTGAGAGCCCCTCCCAGTGGCCTAAGGGGCTCCAGGAGAGCCCCTTGAGACAAGGGCTGGAGGGACAGGACAAGGGGAATGGCTTTAAGCTGAAAGAGAACAGATTTAGATGGGATATTGGGAAGGAATTGCTGGCTGAGAGGGTGGGCAGGCCCTGGCACAGGTTGGGCAGAGAAGCTGTGGCTGCCCCTGGATCCCTGGAAGTGTCCCAGGCCAGGTTGGACGGGGCTTGGAGCAGCCTGGGCTGGTGGAAGGTGTCTCTGCCCAGAGCAGGGGTGGAATTAAATGATCTTTAAGGTCCCTCCCAAGCCAAGCATTCTCTGAGTCTATGACTCTAAATATTATCTATGAAGATGAAAGTTGAAGATACATTCCAATGCAGCATTTTGAAGGTATCAGGTGGGTCTCCACAGGCTGTAAAAAGATTGGTGACAGGCTCTGCACATTCTTCCAGCCTGTTTGCTGCAAATTCTGGCACCTCTGTCCTTCAAAACCTCATCACAGGATCACGAAGGCTGGAAAGGCCCTTCAGGATCATCCACCGTCCTCCAGCACCACTGGAGTCACCTCTAATCCACGTCCCCAAGGGCCACATCCAGACACCTCTGAACACAGAGACAGGGACTCCTCCACCTCCTTGGGCAACTTATTCCGATGCCTGACCAGAAAGATAATCCTTCCTGCTCTTCAGCACAGGTAAGGCCTGTGGAGAGCTGGGCCCAGTGCTGGGAACAGTCCTGGGAGGACAAGAAACACTCTCTGTGAAGGCAGATGATCTTGTGTGGGCTGGGAAAGGAAGTCTGAGGGCATCATAATGTGACAGGCTC